ATGCACCAGTGCATATTCTCAAAGCTTTAGACTGAATTCTATCAAGCTTATTAAGATGACATTTAGCCGCCGACATATACACCTGACAACCATAGTCAAGTCTGGACAAGATAAGGGCCTTGTACAGCAATAACATAGTTGACTTATCAGCGCCCCACTTTGTTTTTGAAATACACTTTAATAGATTGATGATCTTGTTACATGTGTTATACAAATGTGTGATGTGATGAGACTATGTTAATCTTTGATCAAAATACACACCACGAAATTTGAACACTGACACCATTTCCAGTTTATGGTGTCCAAGAGTTAAACTGATATCATGAGGGATCTTACGTCTTGTGATCATCATTGCCACTGATTTTGATTTTGAAATCTTAAACCCCCATTTTGAACACCATGTACTGACTTTACTTAAGCAGTTTTGTATAGATTCTATGACAAACTGAAAATTACCAAAGCGTCTCCAAAATGATCCGTCATCAGCAAACTGTGCTGCATTTATGTTTAGACGCAGGTCCTCGAAAATGTCATTGATCATAATATTAAATAAAACTGGACTTATTACACTTCCTTGTGGGGTACCATTTTCAGTCATATGCACGCCTGACAGTTCTTGACATATGCGAACTTGAATGGTTCTTTCGGACAAAAATGACCATATCCACTTGAACATGTTGCCTCTAATTCCAAGTTTCCACAATTTAAAAAGCAAACCATTTCTCCAAATCATGTCATAAGCCTTTTCGATATCAAGGAATACACACAACATGTATTCCTGGTTGCATAAAGCTTTCTGTGCTTCAGTTTCCAGACGAACATGCTGATCTATACATGAACGCCCCTTTCTGAATCCTGACTGGATGTGAGTAAGAAGCTCATTTCGTTCAAGATAATAGTTCAGGCGATTAGTAACTATTCTCTCCATGATTTTACATAAATTAGAAGTGAGAGCAATCGGTCTATATGATGCAGGAAGCGGTGGATCTTTTCCTGGTTTGGGCACTGGAACTATTATTGCATGTCTCCATGTCCTAGGCAAGGATCCAGAACACCAACTTAAGTTCAACAGTTTCCGAATAACAGCTAGAGAAGAATCTGGCATATGCTTAAACATTTCATAACACAACTCATCCGCGCCTGGTGCCGAATTATGTGTTCTTGATATGGCTGCCTTAAGTTCATCATGAGTGATAGCTGTATTGATTTCCAAGCTACTTTCCAACATGGCAGAAGACATTTCAGGCATAAAGTTTGTTTCAAAAACTTGTTTATATTCTCTGAATTCATGACAATAATTTTCAGAACTGCTAACAGATTTAAATTGCTTAACAAGAGCATCTACTTTCTGACTTTTTGATACGAGTTCTCCAGCTTCTCCCATTACCGGTATAGGTGAACGAATATTATTTCCACCGATCGTTTTCACCTTGGACCATATACTAGTTAATGATGTAAATCTATTAATATTAGAAATATATTCCCTCCAGCTCAACCGTTTTGTACTCCGTACAATACGTTGGAACGTAGTTTGTTTCTTACGAAAATCAGCCAAATCACATGGCAATGACGAGTGGCGAACCTTATTATATGCTTTTTTCCTTGCGATATTGGCTTTTTCACAGCTGTCATTCCACCAGGACTTTGGCGGGAATGCCGCTTTCTTAACAGGCGATTTTCCAAAGGACTCTTCTGCAATTCTTATTAATTGTGTTGTGATATTTTCATTAGACATATTAACATCACCATTTATAAGATCGGATGTGATATGTTCAGTACACAGACTAGAAAAAAGTGCCCAATTAGCCTTCTTGAATTTCCACCGAGGGACTTTATCACAAGAATCACGATATGGTTGAACCTGAATTTCAGTAAAAACAGGAAAGTGGTCACTACCTAACGCATCTTCCTGAAATACATCCCAGTTACACTTACTGGCTATGTGTGATGATATCATTGATAGATCTAAAGGAGAAAAAGTCCATTTGCCAAGATCCATGCGGGTCATTTTACCATCGTTTAAAAGGACAAGATCTGCTTCATCTAAAAAAAATTCAACAATTCAAAATTATATAATCCGTCTTGTTGCTTCCCCAAAACATATTATGGCTGTTGAAGTCCCCACATATAAATTATTGGCCTCCATTGGGATCAATTAATTTCAGATATTCATCTACGTTTGGCTTACCTGTATTATAAATATTAACAATAGTAATGGCTTTATCTTCCTCATAATGAAGTTTTACTGCGTTAGCCTCATACACTGTATTTGGTAATTCTTGAACCTGATACGACAAATCAGTCTTAATAAATATAGCACAACCACCTCTCCGAGGATTTTTAGTATTCGGATTGCTGGTTAGTCTGTCCTGACGTAGACCAAAATAGCCATTAATTCTAAAATGACTCTCTGGCCAAAGAAAAGTTTCCTGTACACAAATAGTATCTGGCAGTGGTGACTTATTTGATAGAAAATGCTTGAAATTATCTCCATGTGCAACAAGACTTTGTGCATTCCATTGCATTATGGTCAGGAATACTAAAGCTTTATCCATCATTCATCTCCACATGTACCTCAGTCAACAGATCACTAGGAACATCGATGTGAAGATGTATTTTTGCCGCCGACACAAGACGATTAATCTGTTCCTCTTTGGTTGTTGCATTAAACCATCCTGAAATCACCTCAAACAAGAACGTTAAAAAGGTTTGAGGAGAAGTACTAAGAAATGGATTGGCTACCTGTTGAGAGCTGACTTGAGCTGTAACAGATGGATTTGATACACTCTGGCTTAAATTTGACTCTCGTGACTGACATTTACAAATACAGGTAGGGTTAGACCCAGATGTAGCTGCAAGAGGAACAGGACGGGTTCCAACTGTTGATTGTGAGGCTTGTACCGACACAGATCGTGATTTCTGAGCGGCGGTTACAGTAGCTGCATAAGATGGAGTTGGAGTGGACTTGACTATACGAGTTGCTTCAGCATAAGACAGTTTACTCTCTACTCGTACCCTTTGCACAGATACTGCCTCCTTTGTATTTCTCACATCCCTTGTAGGCGCAGCACTGTGGCTACCACCACAATTGCAACACTTCGATACTGTTTCCGAACAATTTTCTACTTTGTGCTCACCACTGCACCTGGGACATACAGGCTTTTACTTTTTTACATCGGGTTGAAACATGGCCACATTTCTGGCAATTGTAGCATCTAATAGCTGGTGGGATATACAGACGCACTGGAAAGGACTGATAATACATCCTAACACGTTCAGGCAAATGTGGGGTTGAGAAAGTAAGAAGAATGGAAGTAGTAAGTTCCTTTTCTTTTCCACGCAAAAGTCTTTGGGCACTTTTAACCTTTTGACTTTTCAATTGCTCAACTATCTCATCCTCATTTACATCTGTGTCAACATTGTAAATAACTCCCCTTAGATTCACTAAGACTCTTTGGGACAGAACTCTTGACACGAACGTCACAGACACACGCTACATTCAGTGCAAGGTTGTTGCTCAGCAGACCTGCAGTGTATCACTAAATCTCCCTTTTCCAGTTTTTTCATATACTCCACATCGCCAATGTTTTTATGGATATCCCGAGCCAAAGCAATTGGACTCAAGTTTGTCAAACGTAATCTTGGGTCAACAGAAGTAAGAATGACAACAAATTTGATAGGTAATGACGAAGTCGTATCACTTACAACTCGGTCATCCTCATGTTTTCGTTTCAAACGTTTGGAAATCATTGACACGTATTTCTCTGCAAATTCAGCATCTGTCGAGGTTTCCTCAAATGAGGTAGCGTGAATATTATCATCCCCATCCCCATCAGTGTCGCTCTCCATACCCAAATAGTCCTATGACCAAGTCGAAATGAAAAATTCCACGCAGACACAATGCGCGAAAACCGAGGCCACGTGGTGCGGTAAGTCACCGCGAGCCAACAAAACACACAAATATGGCAAAATAAGCCAATATTTGACCCTCGATAGCCTACAATCACTTACCTTAATGATAATACAGAAATATAAGCCAAACGTAGAACTGAATATGAAATTCACAGGCCCAACACAGGCCCTTACAGCGGAGCGGCTGACAAGCACGTCCGACCCTGTCAACAGCCTAAGGCGGTCTCCAATAAGGAAGTTGCATATTTAGATAATTATCTCCCTTGTTTATGATGGCATACTTTTTGCTTGTTATCTTACCTTTAAAAGTTATTTTATATTTTTATGATATATTTATGCTGCTGGAGTGAAAGGTAAGTCCACCAGAGGGTTGTTTGCAAATGTATACGGAGTTAAAAAAAACCTTCACAATTCATATTTGTAATCCAATAATGTGTTTACACGAATCAGAGAGTCCATGAAGAGGCGTTGCTTGGCAGTTGTAAACGCACGGGGTGGCCATACACGCTTCTGAACGTTTGGAACATTAGATTTAATTTCTTGTGACTTGATACTTTGTTTACGGCTTTTATTGATAAATTCTGTAACCACATGGAACCGATTTTTGGCATTGTGATTATTCTCAGTTCATCCTATCCACCTTAACCTTATAAATGATAACCTCTATACCACATCCGTGTGTCCTTTCTTTCATATATCATTTGGGGCGGTGGGGTAGCCTAATGGTTAAAGCGTTGGCTCGTCACGCCGAAGTCCGGGTTCGAATCCCCACATGGGTACAATGTGTGAAGCTCATTTCTGGTGTCCCCGCCGTGATGTTGCTGGAATATTGCTAAAAGCGGTGTAAAACCAAACTCAGTCAGTCAGTCAGTCAGTCATATATCATTTAATATATAATTGTGAAGTTTCTAGTTTGAATCAGTATATTAAGTTGTGTTCATGACACATACAAACTTTTTAGCGTCAGGAAGAAAACATATGTTCGTTATTTTGACATATATCTGACGTTAGCCTTCGTTTTGTTCAATATATATCTTAGTGTATCAAATCGCCATGGTTCGTTTGAAATCAGAGTTATATCATCACAGGGGCATTCCTGATACCTTACGCTATCTTCACATTCCTCGGCGCTATTCCTTGTGTCTTTTTGGAGATGGTGATTGGCCAACTCTCTCAAAGTGGACCTATCAACGTCTGGAACTTATGTCCACCATTTAAAGGTAATCTAACATTATATCATATAGGAATGTGTGACGGGCTATCGCGTTATTAAATTTGATCTGAAAGTAATTCCATTGAGTACTGCTTCAATCAACGGCACAGTGAGCACAATGACCTGACCACATGCCAGACAACGCTCTGTTTTCTATTGTTGGATATGATATAGGCGCGTCTACACATGGATGAATGATTCAGATGTAATTTGTACACTATTCACGTTCTCGTATCCGCCAAACATTTTCCATAACTCCATGTCTTATGATTCCCAAGTCATATAGTTACTTGTCATGTTACCATTCAGCATAGAAATCCATCGGTAATAACAATTAAAATTAGCCCGTTTAGCAAGTTTATGTTGTGCGTTACTTATGCATCAGATGACATTGATATTTTATTCAAACTGGTTTAAGGCTAAACTCATTGTTTCTCGTGTCACAGGCATCAAGGCTTTGTAATTGTTAAATACAATGTAAAAAAACTTCCGATTCTCAATCTCTACCTTTACAGGAATTGGTTTCGGGATTGCTACAGTGATGTGGCTGTATGTGACCTACTACATGGCCATATTCGCCTGGTTCATGTACTACTTCTACCACTCGTTCATTGCCAAGCTTCCTTGGGCCACTTGTGACAACTCCTGGAACACCCCCGCATGTATAACAAACATCGACAGCAGCATCCTGAACAGTACATCAGCTAATGTTACCAACCTCACTCTCATTGTTGTTAATACCACGACTACTGGTAACTACACCAACGTTACCGACACGGTTATGACAGCAGCAGAAGAGTTTTGGAAGTAAGTAAAGTTAATTACATGTTTAGGTTTACACCTTCACCTTGGAAAACATACACCTTCAATGGTTGACAGGAGGCTAGAAGCTGAAATATACTCCAGTGGACAGGCATCACTGAATATCAAAGGAAGTTATACATATGCAAACAAACGACATTTCGTGTTGACACACACTACATTTACTTTGTTGACGTCGATGAAAGATCATTATGAGAGTTTTTACATATGTTCCCTAAACACGTCATCTCAACTTGCTTGGTTTTGTTTGTTTGTTTGCTAAGCATGACATTGTGTTGCTGGAGACTACTTGTCAGTTCAGGTATGATCACAAATAGCAATGTCTTAAGCGTGAACACGGCACTTCATTTACGACACAACATGCATGGGGACAGCTTGTGGGTTACTATTTGAGGTCTGTTGAAGTTGAACAAACTTCAGCAAATGGTTTGGAAAATGCGTACACTCTTTGTTCAGTGGGTGTTCTGTGGTTGACACATCATATCATAGTGGTGTTGCTATGTTCTGCTGTTCAAGTAGGCTCATGGCCACTTGTGTAACGTGCTACTTTCTCACATATTCTCCAGCTAGGGTCCATGTAGGTAGCAAAGGCACTGTAAGTCCCCATGGTCTCTAGTATGGTGATCTACCTTCAGTTGTTGGCGATCTATAGCCCATTTTTATGTTGTAATGTCCTAAATAGTATATAATGTTATGTTACATGCTAGTTTTAAATCTCTAACCGTGATATACTACTAGTTGTTTTACTGTACTTTGACGACAGATTTTATGAAATAAAACTATACAGTGTTTACTGTTTTAATCACGATATGGCCGAAATATTGCCAAAATGACTTTAAATTTTAACTCACTCACTCACTCTTGCATTAATCGGTTCATCGTGAGAGATACTACGGGATGTCAATTTGAAAGTTGGAAGACTGAAAGCCAAGCAAAACCTTTTTCGTAATTTTGGTTTTCAGCATTTCAACTGCGCATTTACAGAGGTTTACAGGGTTTGGCCGCAACAAAGTAACATTTCACAGTTCAACAAAATACTCTTATTGGTACTTGATCCCATTTGTATTATGCATTTCATATTTGTAGGCCTTATTGCATGCAGTGACAAAATGCCAGTGCATTTTCAGGGTAAACATGGTCATAACAGTTTGTAAATCCTATTATCCTTCATGGTTCTGAAACTTTCATGGCAATTTCAATGAGATTTGTTTACGATGTATATACTTTTGCAGCTGGTACATTTTGCAGTTACAAGGCATGCCTATTACACAATCAAACACAGGTGTAGACCAGGTTGAAGCATTCGCCTGTCAGACCTTGTTTGAGCATGCTCCCAAAATGGCTAACATTTGTAAGATCCACGTCTGATACATCCCGACATTACAATATTTGGGGAATAACAACAGGCATGAAACTAATTCACGCACTCTTCTAGAAGAACTTTATTCTTTGTCACTGTCGAATCAAAGTGTGTCCCCAATGTCCCTGTTTGTTTCCAGATTGCAGGCTTTACAGATGACTGATGGATTGGAAGACCTTGGGGGAATACGATTGCCCTTTGTTGGGTTAATGGCAGTTACCTGTGTGGTCATGTTCTTGGTTACCTTTCAAGGGATCAGAGTGTCGGGGAAGGCAAGTTACTATCATCGTGAATTCTGAATGCATGAATTTAATGCTGTGCATCGTGGCATAATTGTCATCAGTTCGTCACGACCACTCTGTTTCCACGTAAATGTCCTGTTAAAGGGGTACCTGAAGTCACTGACCTTTTCAAAATTTTCTTCAACAGTAGAGGTGAGGTGAAATGGGGTTTAACGTCGTACTTAGGAATATTTCCCTCACTTGACGACGTGCAAGCATGTGTATGTGTAAGTGCCGCTGCTTGTCCTAGCAAAGACTTGAGCTGGTTTTATAGCGCTAGCCAACTGAGATAACACGCCGCATTTAAGCATGAATACCCCACTCAGACACATTATACTGACTCAGAGCCGACCAGTCCTTGTTGTACCCATTAATGCCGAGCGCCAGGCAGGGACCAATAAGTATCATGATTAAGGTCTTTTGGTATGACGCGGCCGGGCATCGAACCCGCGAACTTCCGCTTCAACGGAGGCGGTTCTTCAACAGATGATACCCCTGCTATTTAGGTCTGGTCCAGAGACTCGATTATTTACAGACCGTCGGCATATAGCTGGGGAATTGCTTAGTGCGGTGTTAAATCAAAATATCATCAATGGGACAAGGCTCTGAAACCAGAATCACCATACCTGATCTTAACAAATGGTGTCAATAAATTAACCTGTCCATTTCCTCATTTTGTGCAGGTGGTGTACGTCACAGTGGGCGTTCCCATCATCCTCGTTTTCGTCTTCCTCATCCAAGGCTGTCTACTTCCGGGTTCAGCAGATGGAATTTATTTCTATGTACATCCTAAGTTTGAGAAACTTCTTGAACCAGGGGTACGTTTATGGATTCATATGCAATGAAAATGCAAGTCAGCTTTTTTGACAAAGTAAAAGTAAATGGACACCCATCAACTAATTTACCTTCAACTTTTCTTTTGATTTCACTGTTTAAGTTAAATGACTCTTGCTGTACACGTGATAGTACTCTTGCAAAGTTTTATGGAATGGATATGTAATTCAAACTGTGATCATTCGCAAATGCACACGGCAAAAGACTTTTTTGTCTGTTTGCAGATGTGGATCGAGGCATGTAGTCTGGCACTATACTCTTTAAATATAGCCATGGGAAACATCATCACTATGGCCGGACACAACAGAGTAACCAACAACTGCTTCAGGTACGTAAATATAGAACATGGTAAATAGATAGTTTCCCCACTGACACCACAGTAGCCCTATTTAGCCCGTTGTACCAGCTGATATATGTAAATAACAAATAATTTCTAAAACTGATTTGACTATCCAGCAGTATAGCGCGAAGATGTCCTAATCTGATGGCCTCAGCACTTCCAGTACTTGTCTGATATCACTGATTACTTCCTATATGGAAGTCCAACCACCAATCATGCTATTGTATGGTCAGTTGCCAACTACACTTCACTGAAGCAAATTAGCTCCTTCTGTTTCAGGGATGTTCTGATAGTCAGCATTGCCGACATGCTCTGCCTTATCTTAGTTGGGTTTGCTTTCTTTGCTATAATTGGACATGTTGCCTACCTACGTGGAGTTCCGGTAGAAGCTTACGAATCATCAGGTACGTTTTCGTGAGATGCGTTTCCTGTCTCCATCTACATATTTTAGAAACATGTAATCATCACATCTACACTTTTCCTATCATGATACATTTTGCCGAAGACAGACAGTCGGCTGCTTAAACCGTATTACCAGTGGAACATATCAGGAAAGAAAGTGATTCTCAAGGTGGAACGCCATTGATAAACCGCGAATCTGCATTGGAGTTTGGTGTAGACAATCATATTTGAAACTGCAATTTTTCCGCCTTGCTGTTTTATACTACAACAAGGGGGTCCATAAATTTGAAGCCAAGTCACATAATTATCTGATGTTATAATGACGGAATACTGATCATAATCCTTTTGTAGGCATATTACAGTTTTTCTGTACAAATGCGTTTAATTCATTCATTGTAGCAATAATTTAGATCGCAGGCATCCGCTCAGGACAAAAATTCATATGCACGTTTTTATCATATTACACATTTTTTTTCGGTACCATACATTATTCATCTGTTTTCAGGCTGCAACCAAGCCTTCATTCTCCTGTATGTTTGCCCTGGTTCAATTTCAAAAGCATCTGTGGGTACCATAATATACCTTGTTTCTGTAACATGCATTACCTATGCATTTCAGGCTTCAACCTTGCCTTCATTATCTACCCGGAAGTGATGACGTATCTCCCACTGCCACATGTTTGGTCCGCGTTGACCTTCCTTGCTCTAATGACCCTTGAAGTCGACTCGATGGTAAATATTATCTCAAGACCGATTTAGGTTTTGTGTCAAGAATATCGCTATTGTTGGGCTAATACTGCAAGTCAGCATGTTTACTATATTTTGAATTTGGGGGGTAATTTGAAGATAAATAAGGAAACACGCTGAAAGAATTGTGACCTTGAACAATAAAGTGTCACAGTTGAAACCACCAGCTAAGAACATGGTTTGGTTGCATTACAGAAACCATGGCTGAATAAGTCTACACAATGTAACATTCGTCCTAAGGTCGTATATATTTTAGCGGAGGTCATCACCTGGTGGATCTCATTGAAATGGAAAAGACCAAAGATCAAATTTTCCTATTCGCTTCACAGTTACCCGGGTTAGAGATCATACTTGCAGCCGTTGAAGATATGTTTCGTGGGCTAGCAAAGCATCGATGGGCTGTCATTTCCACGATCCTGTTGACCAACTTCCTGTTTGCCCTTCCCTGCACGACACAGGTAGGGAACAACTTGGAACCATTTGAACCCGAAGCTTCATTGATCATTCTATCAAAAGTGCAAACATAATGTAATACTCTTCAAGTTGTCTATCATGGCTATTTGGGATTCCAATCTGGACATGGACCTCAGGTCATATCGGAAGTTGACGGTTTGAATCTTTTTGTTTATAATATCAATCACCTGATTATCAGCCCAACAGCATAAACGTGAAATATTGAACAACGCTAGACATCACTGTCTATTCTTCACTGTGATAGTGTTTCATACGACATCGTAAATGAGGTATTGGCAACACATGTTGTATGGTGGCTTTTGTGTATACCATACAGTGTGTTGACATCTCTAATCAGTCTGCAATATGCACACGAATGTTATATTTTAAGGGCGGAATCTACGTTGTCACTCTTATGGACTGGTACACCTACTTTCCTGCCGTAGCTGTCTTCGCAATGTTGGAATGTGTTGCTGTTAGTTGGTGTTATGGTACGTAAGTTGGTTGTTTTGTTGTTTTACGCCGTACGTATGAGGGAACATTATTCCACTCTGCCAAAGTAAGAACATAGATGCTGCCCTGAAAAACAACAGTTTCATGCTAAGCTTAACAGATGTGATTGCCAGAAGCACAATGAGCACATTTGACCTTCTCCAACGAGCTAAGAATTTATGAGCTCATATCCAAATAGACAATTACATTTCAAAAACATAATTCAAGACAACGTGATCACCGTAGGCAATGTGTGCCCTATTTAGTGTTGAGGTATATTTTGAAAAAAACGGCGTTACATTAAGATGAAAGAGTGACAATTTCATTGTTTGTGTACCATTTTTGCTGTCCGGCGCAACCATATGCCTTGGTACTACGAACAAAGGATGTGATTGAGAGAGTTAAGTTTTACTCCGCACTATTCCAGCTATATTTGTGTGTCTGAAACATAACATAGTTTGCATAATGCTGAGAGCATCGTTTAAAGTCGTTTAAAGTGCCCATTAAGCACACATAAACGTTACATTTACCTTAAAGAATAAATGAACTCACCACGTTTAAGTTAACATATGGCTATAACATTTTAGGGTGTTCCCATACTTTTTGTTTGTATAAGACGATTACATGGATGACAACTTCTTCTTTATTGTAAGAAACGACGTTTCTGGGCTACTTCTTGCCCCTTCTTCAGGTGATATGTAGTACAGTTTCAGTACGTTTTCGATTTTCTCGAACTCTTCAACACACGCTGAATGTAACAAGAATCAGACTTAACGCATTTTTTGAGACTCAAAACCGTTCTACTTCATACCCATAAATAATAGTTAATCACAAATAGCATGGATGATGAACTGATATGTTCAAAGTTTAGTGATGTAGCTCCTATCTATTAATTCATGTGTTGAAAATTACGTCAACATTTCAGTAGCATTGAGACAATAATATCGACCTGTATACTATCTTAACATTCATTGCAACTCAAAGCTGCGATTTGAAGACATCCTTTCTTATACCATAAAGGTGACTGAACATTACAACAAAACGTTTACGGCATTTTATTGTTCTTTGTATTTAAGGTTTGGAGAGGTTGAATCAGGATATCAGAGCTATGTGGGGAAAGAAGGTTCCTCAAGCCATGATGCTGTCCATCAAATATGTGTGTCCACTTCTACTGTTGGTAAGGCTGCAGACAATGGTGAACAGGAAACAATACTGAATGATATCTTCACACAAAAGGATGAGTTTCTGTCTAGTTTATTGGATCCGTTCTTAAGATATCTTAACCCAAATATCAATGCAATGTTAATATTATGTAAGGATGTTCCGTTTCAGATAATTACGATAGAAGACGAAGGCTAATTAGAAAACTATCCAGAAATCATTATATTGCCTTTTTTATCAGGCCATCTTCAGTTACTCCATCTACTCCTACCGACCCCCTAAGTATGGCGACTACATCTACCCTGCCTGGGCTACTGGAGTCGGATGGGTGATATCATGTATTTCCATAATACAGGTCCCCATCATTTTCATCTGGACCGTGCACCACACGCCTGGGTCTACACTCAAAGAGGTACCTGGATAAAGTACATTCATGTTTAATTCTCGATGATTGTTGGAATTTGTTAAAGCGCTGTGAATGGTATATATGACACACACCGAAATACCAAAATATTCAAGTGTATGCATATATACTGACGGACACAAATAAGGAAACGCATGAGAGCACAGGTGTTCTTTACCTTTACGCCTTACCAGGTTTCGTTGCGTGCTCGGTATTGCACTGTCGGTGAAAATAGGTGATCACGCACTTGCGCTTTCTTATTCGTTAACGTCTCTTTTGTGGTATTCAGCAACCTATGCTTGTCGGAAGAGGCGATTAACGGGATCAGGCAGTTAGGCTCTCTGACTTGGCAGCAATTCTAATTGCTGTTGATCACTGGATTGTCTGGTCCAGACTCGACCATTTACAGACGGTGCCATATAGCTGGAATATTGCTGAGTGCGACGATAAACAACAATCAAAAGAAAAGAAAAAAAACCCAACAAAATCCGCCTGTCTCTTAATGTCATTATGAACCACTGTTTCAGAAATTGCGGTCATCACTTCTACCTTCTGTTCAGTGGAGGCTATCGACGCAAAGACACGGAAATGTTTTGCAACCAATGCAGTCTATGGAAGATTGATAAGCAACATGTTTCCTTGGAGGTTGACGCAGGGATGAGTTTTTATGAATATGAATGTACATGGTGACGGAGATGTTGACGGAAATGAAATGATACAATTAACAAAAACAACAACAAGACAATGCAGTTTAAGTAACAGTTGTATTATTAACCATTTAGTCAAGTTTACAATATGTACGTATGCTGGTTATAAATTGTTTGTAATCATTTATTCAGTCAATAAAGATCTGTTTGTTTCCTGTTTAATGTTGCACTCAGCAATATTCCAGCTGTATGGTAGCATTCTGTAAATAATCGAGTCTGGACCAGACAATACAGTGATCAACAGCATGAGCATCGATCTACGCAATTGGGATACGATGTGAAATTACCGACTTTACTGACTCGTAAACACTGTCTGAAATCATTTGGTATCATTTGTATTCTAAAATTAAACCAGTTTAGAAATGAATACAACTCATTCAAAGGTATTACGGTGACAGTACAAAATAGAATGGCAGTATAGATTCACTGGAAGACTATTGCAAAGGCAGTGATAATAGCAATAATTAATATGATGGTATATACCTCTCAGTAACAGTAATCAAACATGTAATTGGGCAGAATAATCACGGTATCATGATCTTCACACACAATACTCGTCATCTTGTAATTTGAGGTGTCATGTAAGATGAGAGGCAATAACCAACTCCCCTTATATATGTTACAGTCAGATTGTGAAATCAGTCATTTCATGAAATGACTAAAGAATTCAGTCATTTCGTGAAATAACTAAGAGGGTCAGCCATTCAACTATCCCTACTGCTCGTTCTCGTTCTTCCTGGGTTAACCTTGACATTCTCTCTCTTTATGTGCAGTGATATTGCAGTGTTGGACAGGCCATTTATACTAATGTTTCGCACGATATTTCCAATGTATCCGACTAAGACATGTGTTTCATGTTTCTGAGAGTCGGGGCCACAAAATACGTTTTGGCGATTTGTTTCGTGCATCACGAACATTGGCAATCGTTATCAAGCACAGTTGATGGAAACGTCCAAAGTTATTTATATAGCCAATAGCGAAATGGCTGATCCTCTTAGTCATTTCACGAAATGACTGACATTTTTAGTTATTTCACGAAATGACTGATTTCACAATCTGACTGTAACACATATACTACAATTTATGTATACAATTGCTACAGTACTCTCTGACGTAATAGAGCCTGGGACCAGCACCCTGCAGTCCTCTCCAAATCTTTCCGTCTAAATCTAATACAAGTCTAAATATAGCATGCCACTGCCCCCCTTACTGAATCTACATTGTGTTACACAATGAATACCACTGCCACATAAAATCTTCATTAACATCATAACTGATGTGAGCACAGTTTGAGAAGCTACTGACACATGGCAATAATGAACTCACTGCATTAAGGGTCAAACAAGGCTGTCTATCCAGGTATGAATGATCGCCACACAATGCTGGTCTTCTTGTATTTACGATGTCATGTGAGATGAGAGGCATGGGTCAGCGCCCTTCATATACCTGATGTTAAATGCTAGAAATCCCCCTATTCATCCAGAATAGCCCATATGGTTGCAGTACTTTGTAGTATCTTCTCGAACTCTTTCAAAATATAGTACAATACTGCTCACTACTAAAAGTGCACATATACACTGTATTACAATAGGCATATTGTAACACAATGTATCACACAATGCCACAAATAATAACCCGCCTTCAAATTTGTCAAAAATTGAACATATTTAGTTTATCACTGTGTCCATTTCGAAAAGTCAAAAACAAGAAGGCCTTAAAATATGTAGCATGTTCTTTATTGCCACGAATATTCTTGTATTGTATATGAAATCCGTTAAATGATATGATGATAATGAATCAGATAATTTTGAAGAATTCATGCTCGAGATAAAATGCACTTGTTTGATCATTTTTTCTCATATCATTCGTATAGAAAGCTTTTTTCGCATACATATTTAAGCCTGGATTTTAGATCTTTGTTGAAAATATGTGTTTTATTGCAGCAGAAGCTGAAATTATATCTTGTTTATTTGTCTAAATACCATAATTATGGTTGGTTAGTCGCTAACTGAAATACCTTTAACGACACTGTTTTAACTGTTCTCACATATGTAACAAAATTAATACATATTGCTACTCAACGATTTGGAACCCAGGGGTAAATCCAAAACTCAGTGCACAACAGAAATATAAAATCCGGAACAATGCCATTCATATGATATACTATACAGCAATATAGGTTACAGCCATTGATCCGTGGTATGCACTTTGCCTGTTGTAAAGAAGCTTCTAAAATTAAAGGATTGTACCTGCATTTCTGAGGTATACGTATCAAGATTGCGTTTGACAATTGGTGCCATAAAAAATTTAAGAGTTCTGTCCCGTGTAATTCGATAGTGTGCACCCTTTCTTCAGTGGGGACACATTTCCCGGGAACCCCATGGAACAATGCGTGCTTACAAGCGATACGTGTCACCACGAACTACACAATATTATTGACGAGTAACAATTTCGGCTCCAGAGTTATTTACATTTGTTACTTTACTTAGTCGTATACAAGTATGTAATGTGGATGCATTCTGTCAGAAACTACAAAAGTTGTAACATGGCAAGTGTTTTTGAGGCACTTGTCGAGGAATATTCATAACGTTTATGCTGTAAATGTTTTTATGGGATTAAACTCCCTTTCTCAACGTATCTTCCAAAAAACATTCCAATGTAATCAGTGTATGGAGAGATTAGGCTGTTTTCTCGTGGCTCTTGTACAGGCACAGGAGCCGTTGATAAACTGTATCGCCCAGCAACATCTTAAACAACCAAATCTGTACGTACATGTATCCAGCAAAGCCAGATAACTCAATTCTAGTACAAATCATTTGCACCACTCAACGTTTCTACACATTTACAAGAGGTTCTGTTGCCGGTCAATTTACTTACACACACAGATAGTATGCATTAGTTAACCTGGAATGCATTTTACCCATCTGCATATATGCGTTTATTATGTCAATAAAGCTAAAATCCTTTTACTATTTGTCGCCTCCTTTTTTTCTCAATACCCAGTGAGTGAGTGAGTTTAGTTTTACGCCACACTCAGCAACATTCCAGTGATATGGCGGCGGTCTGTAAATAATCGAATCTGGACAAGACAACCCAGTGACCAAGAGCATGAGCATTGATCTACGCAATTGGTATACGATGACATGTTTCAGCCAAGACAGGGAGCCTGACCACCCAATCCCGTTAGTCACCTCTTACGACAAACATGGGTTACTGAAGATCAATTCTCACCCGGATCTTCATGGGTACTTTATAAGTAAATGCAAAACAACAAAATACCATAATAATATCATAAGGGATAACGACTATATGTACATGGCTTTTTAATTAAGATTAGGTAGATTAGAATGAATACTGTACTGCAACGAAATATACCCTTCCTATAGGAAGAAAGAAACACGAAGCCGTACGTAACTCAGAAACACTATCGAAATTGGTAATCGACCAATAGTGTACACGTTTCGGAGGCAGCATTGAAGAAGCTGGCTGACACTCGTAATGAGTCGGCTATTTTCTTCATAAACACTTATATATGTTGCATAGTGGGACGTGGTGGGCGAACTGTCTAAAGCGCCAGGCTAGTGATCCAGCGAGCTGGAGGTGCCGGGATCGAGCGAACCTGTGACCGGGTGTAAATACCTTGAAGTCAACTTTGTGTGCAGACTCTTCCAGTGTTGTCACACCCCCTAGTTTACAGTACACGACCCTGTGCACTTAAAGGAACTCACGAATCCGTTGGTATATGACCAGATGGTGGCCACATGAATACGTGCAAACGCCTAGTTGCGGGTACTGCAACGTGCAATAAACATGGACAAAATACTGTGACCATGTGTCTCAGTCAACCCAGCTGTGAATGCGTATCTCGTAAGGATTGGGAACACATGAATACGTGCAAACGCCTAGTTGCGGGTACACCAACGTGCAATAAACATGGACAAAATACTGTGACCATGTGTCTCAGTCAACCCAGCTGTGAATGCGTACCTCTTAAGGATGGGGAAAGCCACACTACCTCGGTGCGTCTAGTGGCTGCAAGAGTTGTATGAGATCGAGAGTTGAGATTGATAATACGTGGTGCCGTTGAGACTGACATCCAGTGATCGAGTGAAAAACAAAGCGCCTTTGAACAGCTGAGCTGGATATCGGCGCTATACACATGTGAGAATAATAATATCGATTTCTTTTTTTTAAATTGTGTAAAAGTAAATTAAATTAAAGCATTGTCTCCATGGTCTCCTCACGGGAAGTATCTGACACAGATGAAGAGAGTCCCCAGTAAGCGTTGGGTTCTAACGACTTCTTGAGTTTCTGGAAAAAATCGAATGAAGACATAAACATTGACGCATTTAGGATTTAGGATTTGATATATACTTAACAGCTATTGAACTACAAAATAGGATGATTAACGTGAATAATGATGAAAAATGTACACGTATAAAAATACACAAAACGCCAATATGGCTTTATTTAATTTTGATAGAAATTGATTGATTAAAAACACAACAAATCAGTGTAACTGTATTTATAACTTCGTCATACTTGTGATACCAGCTGTGGACAGTCTATCAACTGTCCATAGATAACAGAAGTATTGTAAGTCCCCGCTCGTTCCTAGTATGGTGGCCTAACCTCCTGTCCCTTTTTATATTGTGTTTGCCGATTGATCATTTGATATTTCATTTTGTTTACACTCAAACTAGTTTTAGAAACTTTTTGTGATAATCTAGATTCTTATACTGTCCTCCGACGATAGACTTTTATACTGTTGATATGTATTTGTCATTGATGTATGGCTTTCTCTCGTCAGAACATGGCTCATCATGAAATACTGCCGATGTGACGGATAATCTAAACTCACTCACTCACGCAGATAACAAAGTTCACGCATGCATGAAGAACATCAACAGGATACAAAGGCATGTAAAACAGGAAGTCTTAGATTCTCAAACAGGCATACCGAATCATATCATGCCAAATTACATTTCACCTTTCTTATTGTATTTCCTTCTGTTTTGTACACCGTCCAGATGAAGACAACGGGCAAAGGGATGAGTGATGTACAGGATATCAGCCAGCCAACTCCTGTGGCCCACGCAGGGTAGACGTAGTCTCCATACTTAGGGGGTCGGTAGGAGTATAGGGAATAGCCAAAGATGATCTGTATGAACATTTAACATTTGAAACTCAACTGATGTAGTTAGCAATAGTTCAGTTAGTGTCAGTGTTAATCAGTGTTCATTAAGTTTGAAGTCACCGGTATACCAATAAAGAACATACTATTACTGTCACCATATCACTATCACTTGTATACCAATGCACAAACATTGGGTCAGAGTATTTGTATGCCAACAAGGACATTTGACGTCAGTGTCAAAAATACAAATATACAACATCAGTTGTGACATCTGATATCACTGTCAACTGAGTACCAACATGGACACGTCACACCACTGTCACCTATATACCAACAAGGACATGTAACACGACTGCTACCTAAATACCAACATGGACACGTCACACCACTGTCACCTATATACCAGCATGGACACGTCACACCACTCTCACCTATATACCAGCATGGACACGTCACACCACTCTCACCTATATACCAACATGAACATGTCATCCCGCTCTCACCTATATACCAACAAAAACCATATCACATCACTGTA